TTGTATCCTTGTGTGGATTCAGTGTTGATTCGTGAGAGTTTCATTACTTTGAAAGAGATCTAGGGTGATTCTTGTCTGAGTGTCTTTGTGTAACGATGAACTAATTTTGATCCTTTGTTTTATATAGTGATTTCTTTCGATTGGCGGAAGCTCAAACGGGTAGTAAGATTTATCCGAACCTCTTACCTTAGGGCAATAAATCCTTGTGTTCTTTACTGTTTATTATTTTCTTGCACCTTACTTTTGTTAATTGTATGTTTTGTTAGCTGGTCTTGTGGCTTTTAATCTCTACACTACCCATTCATCAAACTAAACAAAAACTATTACAAAAAAATCTCTCTTCATGTTTGAAATACGTAGACCTCCCCATCAAATTAGACAGGTAGACAAGGACTAATAATCCATTTAAACACTCGTCGTATCCCGTGTCCCTCATCAACTTTGCAAAGATTTGTGGAGACGACATTTTCACTTAATAATAAAAAAAAATCTATAATCATTTTGTATAACTGGATTCCCATATCTGATAAAAGTATTTGGAGAATCTCATTATTTACCCAAAATATAAAAAAAGCATACTTAGAAAAATTTCCCACCCATTTTCCATACATGATAACAATCTATAAGATTCGTAAACTTCGATCCAAAACGAGAGAGAGAGAGAGAGAGAGAGAGAGAGAGAGGGAGGCCTACTCTATCCCAAAAAATTCTCTCTACTTCGACATTTAGAAATCAAGGAAAATTCAGTCTATCCAGAAATTTGGATCGATATCAAAAGCTTTAACAATTTGAGACAATAACTCGGTCTAGTCAGAAATCTGTGTTGTTACAAAGAATGTTTCTTTGTGGTGTAAAAAACAAAGAATATCACATTATACTTTCCCGAGTAAGAATGAGGCTTTCATATAATAGACTCGAGATCATACTATTTTTTGGCATTTCTTGAATTCTCCTTGCACTATTTCCTGCTCAAGAAATAAAGGCCGGATATGATGGCGACCCCTGCAACTGTAACTCCTAGGGTAGTGATAATCTTCCCCACGGTAATAGTACGGTTTTCTGAAGGAATGCTCAGAAGTTGCTTCACCTGTGAAACAGTAAATAGCATGAAGTTTTTAATACACTAGCAAATAATAGAAAACTTAGTACAAGTACAATCATATATTGAGTTTTGCAGTCGTAACAGAAATGGGCAAAGTTCCATGTTAGTAACCGTACTTAATTTTTGACTCAAGTTTGCCACTCAGTTAAAATCCTTTAGTTATTCTAACGGAATGTCTGATGTACAACAGACCTCCACATTGACGCCACATCAGACTATTTTCTATGGCAGACATTTTTGTTAGAAAAAATAATGGAATTTAATTGAGCAGGTCAAATTGAAACAAAAAGTATACTTCATCAATCATTTTTATCAAAATAAACTTCAGTGTCTACCATGAAAGCTTCACTATATGTTGAGACAAACAGTGTTTTTAACCCTAAAAATGGGTGGCGTTCAGATTGAATTTAACATGTGATACTTCTTTAGTCAGCTTATCTATTGTGTGGTTATGCAGAGTCTGGAATACCAAAGCATGACAGGCGCACAATGTTGTCAAAACTGGACTGGCAAGCCAGTCCAAACGGAAAAACTGGGAACTAGACAGGAAGCGGTCGGGTTATAGTTTAAAACTGCAATTGGTAAAGCTAGAGCAAAAACTGCCAACCTGGCTGGTTCAACCAGGAACCAGTTGACCTGGACACGGATAACTGGTTATGCCATTCAGCATTTTCAGGAAAAAGGGAATGTTTTAATAACTAAGGGCTAATTATAAGATGGCTGCCAGCTAAGCACACTAAAGAGTGAAAGTTTAGGTAAACAGCCGTGGTGAGTTGTCATCTCTGAAAGGAATGATTGGTGAGGGGAGGCCATGCATGGAAACTGCCTTGGTGACTAGCCATGAGACCCATTTTCTAGTACGGGTGGCTTAGAATATTGTCAGCAACTTACATATTCCAGTTAGAAGAATTACAGAAACATATTGCAAGCAAATTGCTAAAAGTACTGTTGACAACATGAAATTCATCAAGTAGGAAGTATTGAAAAATTACTGAATCTGAAAGACGAGGACCTAATTCTTTAATTTGGTTAAAATGATGTAGAATGTCTTGATAAACATCGGAATACATTGATATGAAAGTAGGCAAGTTGTAATTCTTTGATTTGTAAATCTTTTATGGTATATTTATTGATTTTTGATTTATTATTTTTAACGACGCTTTGACCCTTGACTTTGTCTCGGTCAATGCCCAGGATGAGTTTTAAAACATTGCTAGGGCATACTTACATCAACAGGCTGCTTCCAGTTCGTTTGGATTCCTGGCAGATGACCTTTTCCAACAACTGCAACTACTGAATTATGCTCCCTTGCAATTCTTAATAACGAGGTTGACATGTATCTGAATACAGATTGAAATAGAATGAATAAGAAAGCAGAAAAAAGTGAGATATGTAAAGCAGAAATTTTACTTTTAGGGAAAAAGCTCAAATACAAAAGGAAAAGAAAAGAAAATCTAGAGCATAATTGTAACTGAGAACTACATAATGAGGATACTATTCACAGAACTTTATTGTAATAATGTTTAAGCCAATTGGCTCTGCTTTATGTTTTATCTCTGAGGTGAATTTAACCTACAAGAAGGTGATAGGAAGCAATTTTTTAGATAAATGTTACTAAAATCAAAAGTATTATTCCATTAACATAATTAGCCTTACTGTATCCACTGAAGGTCTGACCAATAACAACTAATGTTTCTTATAATATGGAAGGAAAATTTGAAGGGCTTTAAGATTGTGAGAACGAAGAATGACAAAAAAACTAAGCAAGACTCATTAGGTCAATAGCATGAGATGCACATAATCTTGTCCTAATCAACATGAGATGCACATAATCTTGGGCTTATATATAGATGCACATAATCTTGTCCTAATCAACATCTGTACATACTTAACCTCTCAATTCCCAACCTCCAAAAATAAGAAGCCTTTAAACCTAGTACACGTAAAGTATCTCAAAATTCTCAAAACATCTCTATGATCTACTAAGGAAGCATGGATGAACCAACGAACCATGCCCACAACATCCACAATATGTGGCCTCTGTGTGAAATAGAAAAATCAATTTCCCTTCAAGTCATTGATACCTGGCTTTGTCAATGAGTTCCATAACAGATGCCAATTTATACCAACTCATTTCAACTGATTATTATATCATCAAAATACATAATTAGAATAGTGCTATTCTCTTGTTTATTCTCCTCGAGAACAGTGTGATCTCCGTGGCATCTGTATCCAAATCCGACAAGAGATTGAGTAATCCTTTTGAAGTAAGCTCTTAGTGATTGTTTCAACCCATAAATGGACTTTTTCCGCTTATAATCTTCCCCACAGCCAAGTTTTTATTCAAGTCGAGAAGGCAGATCCATGCAGAACTTTTCCTCTAAATTTCCATGAAGAAATGCATGCTCGAAGTCAAACAGTTACGGAAACCAATCATTATGAGGTCCTACATACAATATAACTCTAATGGAATTCGTTTTGGCTATTTGATGCAACAAGGAAAGAACTAAAAGTCTATGTAAGGCGAAAGACTAAGAATTAGTAGAATTTGAGTGTATTTAGATTATAGTAGTTTGATTTTGACAATGTTATCTTTTATTTCAAGTTTGCTTAGATAGGAAGTTTATTTAATTTCAAAGTCCTCCTCTATATAAATGGACTTAAGACAAAGTTTACAAATACACCTAAATTATATGAATAAAACAATTTCCTTGCCCTTTCTCCTTCAACTCTTATTGTTTGTTATCTAGTTGATACGTCTCCTGCATCAATTTGGTATCAGAGCGATTTGTTCTCCTTTGACCTGCACCTTCTCAAACCCAAGAAATTCACTAACCGCTTCCATTCAATCCATATACAACCACTTTCGTACACAACCAACAACCTTTGGAACAGCAAAAATGTAAAAGAAATTGTATCGCAGCAGAAGTTTTTCCATTTGTTTAGCAGTTTATATTAGATGTCAAAAAAGGAAAAAAGGAACCAAAAAAAAAATCCCAAAAAAAAAAAAAGAAAGAAAAAGCAGATTGTTCATCAATTCTTTAGTTTGGTTGCCGATTTTAGTTTCAAAAAGAAAAAAAAAAGGGAAAAAATCGTTACAAAATCTGCTACGGATTGAAAAGCCAAAAGATTTTCTGTTCCAATTTCATGAAAACCTCAAACCTACAGCCCCACACATTACCCTGCCCAATGAAGCCAAATAAACAATAACCAACTATCCACAGCCCAATTAACTTGATCAAACCAATTATGGAGCCCATATAATACTTCCACCCAATCAAACCATCTCCTGTTTAACCCAAGCCCATTACCCATACACCTATACACAAAGGCCCATAGTCAACAACACCCTAGCCCACTAATTTGATCCCAAAATCACCAGGCCACTACCCAAACTCAATCTCCTCAATCCCTAATCCGTTCCCCAGCCGTCGGTAGCAACTCAGCGACAAATCACCATCAACTGCCTCAAAAACCCACAGCCAATCCCATCATCAACACCACGCCATTCCCAGCCGCCAACTTCAAAGAGAAGAATCCCCAATTAAACAGCCTTCTATATACACAATCCATCAACATAACACACAGCCGGCCATGCCATGTCATGTCACTCAGACACCACTTGTCGACGATGACAACATCGACACCCATCGCCACCAATCACCAGCTTCCTGCCATGTTCGAAGATAGATACATACACAGTCACTCCACCATCGCACAGACGCTGATTTCTCCACTGCCGCCTGCATCTTCAAGTCGCTTCCTCCAACATCTGCCTTCTCAGCCACCGTACTCTGCTCTTGCCACCAAGTTCCCCTCTACTGTCACCTTCGCGTTCCACCACCTGTGTCTCTCGTTGGCTGCCTCTCCCAGTGCAAATATAACAATGTAACTTACTGCTACCATACTACCGAGATCAGAAGCTGCCAACCAATACATTGAAGGCTCCTGTTCTTACCGTCCCTGCGTCCGCACCGTGCCGCCGCTATTCTCGCCATCTCTGTCAGAAGCCTCAATCCAGTTTGCTCGTCGTTTCGGTAAGGATTAATTCTACTTTAATTGAAAATTTTCTTTTATTTAAGTATTTTGCTTTTCTAGTTTAGTTTTAATTCCAAAGTTAAAAAAGATAAAATAAAATAAAACAATATATATATACACACACACACACACATAAATAAATAAAAATGAATCTCAAAGATCTAGAACACTCCCATGAAGTTTTATACCAATAAGTCACCAATCTTTCAACTGACTTAGCGTCTATGAAATCTGATTTAGTTGAACTTAAGAATCTCCTCACTGAATTACGTTGAAATCCGAAAAAATGTCCCATAGATAATATTTTTGAATCATCAACAGTAGGCTAAAACATTCATAGCTCTGTTTGTCAGGCACCCGAGATTCTACCCCGGGACAAATTACCTAACCTACACAATCCTAGGCACCACGTACATATTTCGAAGTATCTTGAATCTTGTGTTTAACATAACACTTGCCCTAAACCCCCTCCCCCACATTATGATGAACATAAGGACCTTGCTGATGACATAACTAGAAAAGTTCAAGTAGATACCCTGAATTTGATGGTCGACAAGACCCCGAAGCCTTTTTAGACTGGCTGGAGCCCATCGAATAGTACAACGATTGGTATCACATGCCTGACTATCAACGCATTCGTTTCATCAAAATAAAACTCGTCAAATCAACTAAACGCTATTGGAAAAATATGACATGTAGCCTCGAACTGTTAGGTCAACCTATCACTCTATGGGGGGAAATGAAAACAAAATTCACTTAAAAGTACGTCCCATCTTACCATCGATCTCAACTTTTAGAGCGTTTGCTTAATCAAAGACTCTTCAACTGTGTCTGATTATAAATCTTGTTTTAGACCCGACCTCAAACAACAAGTGAACGTGCTCAGTCCTTTCTCCTTAGAAAATGCTTTCCACAAAGCCCTCGAATATAAGAGGTCTCTTTATCACCCTACACCCGAAGAGGCCTTTCAACCTTTGTAGACCCTCGTCAATCTCGCTCTAATCCATCTACCAATCTTGGTAGTGTCCTAGTATCATCACAGTCTAGCACAATTGTTGGGTCATCATCATCGTAACCTTCACTTTCCCAAAAAATCAATAAGAGTCAACTTTCTTACTCGACTTCCTCCAAAGCCCCTAACTCTTCAGTCATGTATCATCATTATCAGAATCGAGGTCACGTTGCCTCTCGATGTCCTCATCGTACCATCGCTATTAATCAAGAGCCACTACTCCCGACTTCAAAAACCAATGAATGTTTCACAGTCGACCTTATTGACCATTCAGATGAGGACATCAACCAATTTGAGATGAAGCCTTTCCACCCCTATTGACTTTGCTTTCTTGGAAAAGGTCCCCAATTTTCCATACGTACATCCCTTGCAACTCTCGTTCTTGTAAAATAGTAATTAATGGGGGTAGTACCATGAATGTCGTTTCCACTTTAGCTGTGACCGAGTTCGGATTCAAACCCAAACCCCACCCTCGACCTTTTAAGGTGGCATAGGTCAATAGGACTTCTTTTCCTGTCCCTCTTCGTTGCCTTGTGCAACTTATGCTTGATGCATTCGACTTAAAGGATCTTTATGTAACATCCTACCTATGGATGTTCACATCCTTTTGGGTCATCCTTGGCTTTACGATCACGACGTGCACTTTAGGCATGACAACATTTATGAGTTTGTCTAAAGTGGCAAACCTTTTCGGTTTCTTCCAGCCAAACCCTCAGACCTTCCGAAGAAACCACCTCCTAAAACAACATCCACTTATACTACAGGTACAGACAATCGGATCCAACTTTTGTCCCATAAGGACTTTGAGCATGAGGTTTACAAAACCGGGTTGAAGTATACTTTAGTTACCAAAGCCTGTTCCTAACTCACTTCTGAATCACACACTGATCATCCCCCTAATGTCACCCTGTTACTAGAAGAGTTTAGTGTATCACCCCTATGACCTACTCGATGAACCCCCTTCCATCTGTGATATTCAACATACTATCGATTTGGTCCCTGGTTCACAATTACCAAATCTTCCTCACTATAGGATGAAACCCTGAGAACGTGTCGAGCTGAAAAAACAAATTGAGGCTTTAATATAATAACCTAAAATTCTCTATTTGTTATTAACCTAAGTATAGGGACCAAGTTGCTCGATAGCCATAGTTTAAGGACCAATTTATATAGAGACTAAGGTTCAGGGACAAATTTACACATCAACTATAATTCAAGGATCATATCGCATGTTGGTGAATGATTTTGGGACCAGAGATTATTGAGCAGGTGGTGCATGCAATTGAGAAA